GGATATCACTCAAGAAATCACTCAAGATATCCCTCAAGTAATTAAGGAACAAAAGAAGAAAAGGCACACTAGCCTGGAAACTTCCTCTCTGCCCAGAACATTGGAGGCTATACACCACACCTCCTCAACAGTATTTATAGGAACTCAAACACTGAGATCCTGCTCTGTTCCAGTAACAAGAAGCCGAAAGCACCAGCCTGAAGATGACGAGTGAGACCTCGTCGAAACGTCGCCTAGACACCCCAACTTTTACACGGGAAGACACCCGAGGACACCAAAACCTGCATATATATATATATATATATATATATATATATAATATGTTCATAACTGCATATATAAACCGCATGTCTGAAACCCCACAGAAAACGTCCTGAAACCATTTTGTCCCTCCCAAATTGACCTCGAATATTTCTCTGCAAGGTCGAAGGAAAAAGAAAAAGCCTCCCCATTGTCTTTTCCTTCACAAATCCTGTCTTAAGGGTATGTCTGTGTTTGAATAGGGTGAGCCTGTGACCTGGCTCAGGAACTAAGTATTTATCATTACGAAAGACTGGCCAGGCTCCCTAGGGTATCCAATCAAGTAAGCATGAACAGGTAACCTGCCAGACAGGAGGTAAACAACGCACTCAGATTTCTGTTGTAGACCGCCTCTTCTGTGATTCAGGACCTATAAAGTAAGTTTCTTCATGCAACACAGAGTTAAATTGTGGAACTCACTCCCCCAAGAAAGCAGTGATGGTCACCCACTTGGATGGCTTTAGGATTGGACCAATTCATGGAGGAAGAGAGGGCTCTCGAGGGCTCCTAGCTCTGCTCTACCCTCCACAGCTGGGGGGGGGGGCTATGGACTATTCATATTTTGAAAGGAGTCAAGTGCTTTTGAAGAGTTTCTTTAAACTGTAAGACCATATAAAACATTAGAGAATGATGGATTCACCTCAGCCCACATAGACCTGCCCAAATATTAAGATCAGGGGGTGGGGCAGGGGGTGGTTGGTCCAAGGAGCAGGGGCACCTGGGAGGACTTCCTCTGTGGTCTCCCCACCACAAACACACACAGTTCTGCAGCTCCCTCTCCTTGGAGGTGCCTGTGCCCCCATCTCTGGGAGCTGGTGTGTTATTTCAGATCAGATCCTCTCTCCTGCACCTGATCAGCACCACAACTGCACCATAGGACTTCCTCTGCTGTTTTAATCGATGCTTTGATGATGCTTTAATTTTTCATTGGGTGGGCTTTGCCCTGGGACCTTGTGGGGAAGGGTGGGTGGCAGATTCAAATAAATAAAATATACAACACAGAGATCCAAGATGCAGGAAGAGGAGCGTGCAGAGCCTTTGTTGCTTCTGAATTGCTGCTTTCCATCTTCTGGACACAGGAAGCAACGGTGATGCTGCTGTCCATTTGACCTGCTCCCTCCCGTGTGGCCAGCCTTGCCACTTCTCCACTCAAACAACTGTGACCCTCGGACCCGGACCCTGCTATGGGCTGGATGGGATGGGAACCCTCAGGCTTCCTTCTCTTGGTGGCAGCAGAAGAGGAACGAAGGGAAGACCCTCTATCTTCCCTTTGGGGTGGTCTCAGTGCTGCCACCAAGGGAAGGAAGCCTGTGTGGGACACTAAATGGAGAAAGACTTTATTCCCCTCATGCAGGTGGCAGTGAAGACTTTTGCCTCCTATGGCAAAATGTGTAGAACTGGCGCTGGCCGGGTGTCCTGCCTCCAAGGAGAAGGTGATGGTGCAGGATCTGGCTCAGTGGCCTCCAGCCACTCAGGAACAACCCCTAGAACAGGCATAGGCAACCTCGGCCCTCCAGATGTATTGGGTCTACAACTCCCATGATCCCTAGCTAAGAGGACTAGTGGTCAGGGAGGATGGGAATTGTAGTCTCAAAACATCTGGAGGGCCAAGGTTGCCTATGCCTGCCCTGGAGCAACAGCTGAGAAGAAGGGAGGAGCCTTGGGAGGGACTGGCAGTGCTCCCCCCCAAAGAAAGTGAGCTGGGCATCAGACGCAGAGGCAGAACAGCCCCCAGGAGCAACAATGCCACAAGAGGAGGAGGAGGAGTTTGGATCTGATATGTGAAAAGGATCTAGGAGTCTTGGTTGACCACAAACTTGACATGAGCCAACAGTGTGACGCGGCAGCTAAAAAAGCCAATGCAATTCTGGGCTGCATCAATAGGAGTATAGCATCTAGATCAAGGGAAGTAATAGTGCCACTGTATTCTGCTCTGGTCAGACCTCACCTGGAGTACTGTGTCCAGTTCTGGGCACCACAGTTCAAGAAGGACACTGACAAACTGGAACGTGTCCAGAGGAGGGCAACCAAAATGGTCAAAGGCCTGGAAACGATGCCTTATGAGGAACGGCTAAGGGAGCTGGGCATGTTTAGCCTGGAGAAGAGGAGGTTAAGGGGTGATATGATAGCCATGTTCAAATATATAAAAGGATGTCATATAGAGGAGGGAGAAAGGTTGTTTTCTGCTGCTCCAGAGAAGCGGACACGGAGCAATGGATCCAAACTACAAGAAAGAAGATTCCACCTAAACATTAGGAATAACTTCCTGACAGTAAGAGCTGTTTGACAGTGGAATTTGCTGCCAAGGAGTGTGGTGGAGTCTCCTTCTTTGGAGGTCTTTAAGCAGAGGCTTGACAACCATATGTCAGGAGTGCTCTGATGGTGTTTCCTGCTTGGCAGGGGGTTGGACTCGATGGCCCTTGTGGTCTCTTCCAACTCTATGATTCTATGATCCCGCCTTTCACTTCCTTTAAGGAGTCTCAAAGCGGCTAACATTCTCCTTTCCCTTCCTCCCCCACAACAAACACTCTGTGAGGTGAGTGGGGCTGAGAGACTTTAAGAGAAGTGTGACTAGCCCAAGGTCACCCAGCAGCTGCATGTGGAGGAGCGGAGACGCGAACCCGGTTCCCCAGATTACGAGTCCACCACTCTTAACCACTACACCATGCTGGCTCTGCAAGAGGCTGGCTGAGATCCTCCCAGGCAAGAGTGCTCCAGGGCAGAAGAGGAGGACTGCCTGCGAAAACTTCCCAGAGGCTGCATCTGGCCCAGAGTGGGGTTTGGGGAACCCCCCTTTTGGCTTTGGAACCTCCATGCCTCTGAGAGCTGCAGGATCAACGCCTTGTGCCTGCCCCCCTGGTCCCCTGGGGCTGCTCCTCCCTGACGAGCTGTTTGCCTGAAACTGTGCACACACCAGGCATCTAAAAACACATTATCCCCCCCTCCCAAGAATCCTAGGAACTGCAATTCACCCTCACACAACTATAATCCCCGGCACTCTTAAGAACTACAGTTCCCAGGGTTCTTCTGGGGAAGTCACGTGCTTTAAATGTGCTTTAAATGCATGCAGCCGGAGTCCCTGAGAGAACCGCCGCTGGCCTGGGATTGCGCTTGGGCGTCGCAGCCGCGTGGTCCACTCTGGCTTGGGCAACTGTTGGGACCCACTTCTGATTGGACCCTGGGAAACAAAGCGCGCCTTGGCCTGCCTTGCAGGAGGGGAGGTCAGTGCAGCGCGAGGCAGAGGAATCCATAGATCTGTTGTGGGTGCCAAATCACCGCAAAGAAAACCTGGTCTGCCTAGGAATTAAGTTTTGGGCAAAACACACAAGAGGGAGCGGGGTGGCCTGCAAGGAGAGTCAAGAGCTGGCTTGCGCAAAACCTTTGTAGTTTTAAACGTCGCCGGTATGACAAACGGTCTAATTCTGTATTCTGGCTGTGCATTTTGCATTGGGAATGAAAGCAGTGAAATGCGCTTGGCTTTGGTGAGAAAGGAACGCGCGCGGCCACCAAGGCGAGCTGGAGCCGCGGGTGCCCGAGGGTTTGGCTGGGGTGGTTGGGCAGCCGGTCTCTCTCTCCAGGCCCGTCTCCGGACCCCCATTTCCACGCCTTCCAGTCGAGATTCCGCGGCTGGGGACGGACCGCAGCTCAGCCGCAAAGCACCCGCTCTGCAACAGGGGACCTCAAGCTTCAATCCCCAAAGGTACCTCCAGTTTAAGCTAGGAGAGACCCGCTGCCAGTCAGTGCACACAGTACGGAGCTACATGACCCCCATGGTCTGACTCGGTGCAAGACAGCTTCCTGTGTCCCTAGCCTCTGGCCTTGGCTCCTCTCCGCCGCCCTTGGTGAAGTTCTGCGCGGAGCGCGCCAGGCACAGCGTTGCCTTTTCCGGCGCCACTTCCCGGGACGCCCGTCGGGCCAGGGCTAGACCCTCCGCTTGGCCTCCAGCAGCTCCTTCCATCCAGGCTCTGGGAAGGGGGTCACACTTACACCTTTTTCCCGAGCCCCCCCCCCCGTGCCACTCCAGAAGGCTCTCCCAAGCCGGGGCTGTGGAAGAAGCGCCTGTTGCAGCTATGAGGCGCCTCCTGCCGCCGAGCGCCCCGGAGAGTCCTGGCAGGCCCCCGCCTTGCAGAACCGCGGAGCAGGAGCCGACTCGGCCCAGTTGCTGGCTTGGCTCTCCGAGTTGGAGGGGGGCGGGTAGGGGGGAGCTTTCTAGCCCTTGTCCCCGGGCCCTTTCGATGTCGAGGACTACGCCAGCTTGCAGGGCTCTCGCCGACCACCTTCGGTGCCATTACGCACGCCGCCCTGCTCCTTGGCGCGTCCGCTCCGGCTCCCTTTTGGTGACAGGGGCAAGGGGGGATCCGGGCTACAGCGTGGTCGCCCCCAGGCTCCCCCCGAGCCTCCCCTCCCCCCTGCGGGGTGCAGGGCCCACAGGGAACCCGGCCAGCCCTGTGCCTCCCTCCCTTCCGTCGGGGCTGGCGAAGCGGGAGGGCGCCGTGGTTAATGTGTAATGGGGACCAGATGGTCGCCTCCGAGGCAGCCTGCTCGGTGGAGAGCCCGGGAGGGAGGGAGGGGAGGCGGCGGCACGGTGAGGGGGGGCTAATGAGGGTCAATTGCTGGGTGCCCAGGCCGGGGGAGAACAGCCTGCCCCCACTATTTGCTCATCAAATATTGTCCTGGGCAGCTTGGCAGGGCTCAGCTCCGCCAGGCAAGTCCCGGGCCATCTGGGCCAGCTCGGGAGGCGTCGGTGGGGGCAGGGCGCCCCTTCCCCTCCCCTGGCGAGGCCGAGCTGGCCTCTTTTGGCATCCTGCAGCCGGGGAAAGAGACCGGCTGGCGAAGGAGTTCGGCCTGGCCCCGCTGGCCGAGGAGCAGCCAGAGTGCCAGCCGTCGAGGGGCAAATCCGCAGCGGCGCGTCCCAGCCTGGGGTTCGTGGGGAAGTCGCGCCGCCTCAAAGGAAGGAGCAGCTCCCGGCGAGCGTCGGAGCCGCAGCCCAGGTAAAAGCGAAGGGGATGCTGCTGGCTGTGGCTGGAAGCTGGCGGGTGGCCCCGGGCCCCGGGGAGGCAAGCGGGAGAAGGGGCGCCTCCCGCGGGGGGTGGCGCTGCCCCGACTCCTGCGGCTGCTCCCGCCCCGTCCGAAGCAGCTTCTGGCGCAGCAGAGAAGAAGCGAAGGGAGCCGCCGCGGGCGGACCTGGGGCCGCTGTCCACGCCGCGATGGTGCTGAAACGCCGCGGCCGCCGGCCGCCACTGACCCAGCCCCGACGGGACGCGGCCAGGAGGCTGCAGCGGGTGGAGGTGGGTGCGGAGCGAAGAATCAGCTGCCTCCTCGCCGGCATCTCGCTTTTGGGGTTCAACAAGAGCTCCCCCCAAGCACTTCAGATAGGAAGGCCCTCTCCACTTTCGCTGTCCCAAGGGAAGTGCTTCTCTGAGCAGAAGTTGTAGAACTGGAATTGTGGGATTGGAAGATACCCTCAAGGGATATCTAGTCCTGCCCTTTGCAGTGCAGGAATCACAGCTATAGCGTCCCTAACGGGTAGCCATCCAAGCTCTGTTGAAAAACCTCCAACGCAAGCCAGTCCACCGCCTTCCGAGGGAGTCAGTTCCACTGTGGAATGGCTCTCATCACCAGGAAGTTGTTCCTACTGTTTAGTCGGAATCGTCTTCCTTTGTCATGTGAATCCATCAGTTCTGGGTCCTGCCCTCCAGAGCAGCAGAAAACCAGCTTGCTCCACCTTCCGTGGGAGAGCGCTTCCCTCGTCTGAAAGTGGCTATTATGTCACCTCTCAGATCACATCGAAGCCTCCCTCTTGGAAGAGAGCAGTGAGAAATAGGTCCCCAAGGAGAAGCTGCCCCCACCCCCAATGCAGCATCCTTTCTCAGCAACTGCTACCCCACCCCACCCCACAGTCTCAGGGCATTCCAAAGGCTCCCTCCTGGAATAAGATCCATGAAGGAGGCAGCTTCAAAGAAGCAGGGAAGGACACACACACACACACCCCCCACCTACCTGGGAAAGTGAGCCTGTTTCCTCAGGAACCCTCCCCTTGGCATAAGGAACAAAAACCACCAATTGCTTCTCAAGCAAGGATGGGAGTAAAGGAAAGCCATCCCTGCCCAAGGTGGGTGCCACTTTGAGAGACTTCTGAAAAAAATGGAATAAAATGACAGTAACTAAATAAATGTTTTTCTCTTGTAGAATCCCTGAAGCTATCCTGCCGGGGTTGTCCTGCAATGCAACACCAAGGTAAAAGGGAGCCTCCCTGACCAGCTGGGGATCTCTGGGGCACACCAGTCTCCTCCCACGCTGCAACCTTGCTGCTGTTTAGGCACCTGGTGCACCATAGAGAAGCCTTGGCATTTCTGCCCAATGATCTGAGAGCCTGACCTTTCAGGCTGTGAATTGAAATATCTAAATCGAGCCTTCTCTCCGCTGCCCGACAGAGTGATTCTTGATCTAGCAAGCCATAATAGCACCTTCCTCCAAACTGATTCAAAGCTGACCTGCAAAGGGGGGAGGAGTTAAGGATCCTAACCCTAACCCAACACTGGCTGGCTCCAGCTCCCCACCCCTGACTCAGGTGACAGGACAGAGGGAATCCCCGTCAGATTTGCAGATGACATAACCTTAACATCTTCAAACAAAGAGGAGGAAGAAAAGTTTTTCTCCCTCCCTCATAGCACTAAAACTCCTGGGCATCCAATGAAGTTGAATGTTTGAAGGTTCGGGAGAGAGGAAACGAAGTCCTTCTTCATGCAGCACAGAGCTAACCCATGGAACTCCCTCCCACTGGAGGCAGTGATGGCCACCAACTTGGATGGGGTTGTCACTGGCCAAGATGCCTGTGCTCTGCCTTCCACAGCTGGAGGCTGCAATGCTTCTCAATCCCAGTTGCTGGAAACCAGGAGGAGGGGAGAGTTGCTCTTGCGCTCGGATCCTGCCTGCTGGTTTCACAGAGGCATCTGTTGAGAACAGGAGGCGGGACTAAATGGGACAATGCCCTGATACTGCTGGCTCTCCTCATGTTCTTAAAATTAAATGTGCTAACATTATTTTCAAATGCTTTCCTACATTCCCGTTCTTCCATATAAAAACACCATGACTAAGACCACATGCAGCTGAGCAACAGACTCCAGGCGGCCCCAGAAGACACCCCTTCCTTGCCTGCTCTCTGGGGTACAGCCAGGGGTGTAAGCCATCTCTTTGGGCTGTTTGCAGGGACCAGTGGTGTGAACCAGCTGGGGGGGCCCTTCGTGAACGGCTGCCCCCTGCCCAACTTCAAGAGGAAGAGAATTGTTGAGCTGGCTTCGTGTGGGCTGCGTGCTTCAGACATCTCCCGTCACTTGAAGGTAAAAATTAGATGGAGGGTGGGAAGCCAGTGGGAGCGGGGCCATTAGCTCTCCCGGCAGAAGGGCAGCAAAAGCCAAGTCATAGCCTTCATCCAGATTATTTGATATTTTCTTTGTTACACACCACCCTCAATATCTGAGCAGTGAGAGGCTCCAGGGTTTCCAAGCACTTGCAACCAGCTTCTGTTTCCTTGGAATGAAGTTAGAGGTAGGTAGCCATGTTGGTCTGCTGTAGTCAAAACAAAATAAAAAAATTCCTTCCAGTAGCACCTTAGAGACCAACTAAGTTTGTCATAGGTGTGAGCTTTCGTGTGCATGCACACTTCTTCAGATATACCGAAACAGAAGTCAAGTCTCTAAGGTGCTACTAGAAGGAATTTTTTTATCTTGGAATGAAGGCTTTTATCTTTAGGATATCTGGTTTTATTTACACAGATATACACCCTGAACATAGGTTGGAAGGGCCCCCAGCATTAACACCCCCAACAGATCTTGCTTCTCCATTATTCACAGCTTTCGATCCAGCGCAGAGCAAACACACCTCTGTGTCTCCAGCCTCCAGCCTGCTCCCAACTCAGCTCTCTCTCGCACTGCTCTGGCTCTTGTTCCTCTACCTCAGCAGTTCTCAACCTGTAGGTCCCCAGATGTTCTTGGACTACAACTCCCATCATCCCTGAACTGGAGTTGTAGTCCAACAACATCTGGCAACTCACAGGTTGAGAACCGCTGCTCTACCTAGTACCTAGGTGAGGCCCATCCCAGCAAGGCAGCCCAGAAAGATGCCATGGTTGATGGTATCGAAAGCTGCCAAGACATCCTGCAGAACCAACAGGGACATGCAGCCATCTGTGCCCCCAACTAGGTGAGGGGGTGGAGGAAAGACCCACCCATTGATCTGTAGGGCTCCCTCACTTAATTGTAGCTCTTGCTGAACTCATTGTTTTGGGATGCTGATGAGGACACTTAAGAGGCCAGGTGAGGTCATTGTCTTGCAAATAAACTTGTCCGACCACTTCAGCAACCTTCTTGGCTAGATTCTAATCCCCACTAACCAGACCCCAAGAACGGAAAGGGACTCAGCTAGACAGACCCTCAAAACCAACAACAAAGGGGACGGTTGCTAAGTAGGAGGGGTGGGATTGAGGGACTGGGGACAATCTGAAGCAGCTGGAGGGGGGCAGCCAACCCCCATAAGCCCCCCAAATCTCTCTCTCTCTCTCTCTCTCTCCATGCGACCTTTCATTGCTCCTCGCTCCCCGCTCTTGTATTTTTACACCACAGGTTTCCAACGGCTGTGTCAGCAAGATCCTCACCCGCTACTACCAGACGGGGGCCGTCCAGCCAAAGGGCGTGGGAGGGAGCCGCCCTCGGACATCCACGCCGGAGGTTGTGGCCCGAATTGCCCAGCTGAAGTGGGAACAGCCGTCCCTCTTTGCCTGGGAGATTAGAGGGAAGCTGCAGGCGGAGGGGGCCTGCGCTGCCAACAGGATGCCCAGTGTGAGTTGCCGTGAGCTGGCGGCGGGGCAGGTCTTGGGTGGGGGGGGGATGTTACATGTGGGCACCGAGAAGCTGGGGCTGGGAGCCTGCCATGTATGTGCTGTTTCGTTTATAAATCTCTTCCCAAGAGCTGCTCCCAAGTGAATTTCAATGCAATCAAGGCATGCGTGACTGTCTTTCTTTACACAGCAGGAAACATGTGCCAAGGTGAATCATGTGATGCACACACACCCCCACACAATAATTCCATGTGCCACTGAGTGGGACAATGTTAGCAGGCATAGCGCTGATGGGATGGACTAGATCCATTGTTCTGCCCGGACACTGAGGTCCAGCGCCGAGGGCCTTCTGGCGGTTCCCTCACTGCGAGAAGCCAAGTTCCAGGGAACCAGGCAGAGGGCCTTCTCGGTGGTGGCACCCACCCTGTGGAACACCCTCCCACCAGATGTCAAAGAGAACAACAACTACCAGACTTTTAGAAGACATCTGAAGGTAGTCCTGTTTAGGGAAGCTTTTAATGTTTAATAGATTATTGTATTTTAGTGTTTTGTTGGAAGCCGCCCAGAGTGGCTGGGGAAACCCAGCCAGATGGGCGGGGTATAAATAAGAAATTATTATTATTATTATTATTATTATTATTATTATTATTATTATTATTTATTATTATTATCCTCAGGTTGGGTCCCTCCTCTGGATTCCCCACCTCCTAAGAAATGAATCCCATTTTCAGTGCAAGCAAAGGCCTGTGAAAGGGCATCACAACAGTGGCCCCTCCCCAGGGGCAAAGGAGTCAGGGGACCCCAGCACTCTCCTCACCTTCCAGGAGCGCAGGCAGCCCTCTGCTCCTTGCTGGGGACAGGCCTTAAGCCGCGGAGCAAGAGAGCATCTCTTGAGCTCCTTAAGCTGCGGAGCAAAAGAGCATCTCTTGAGCTCCGTCCGGCCTCTGAGCCCAGCAGCGCCCAACCCATCTTGCTGTGGGGCTGAAGGCAGGGGACCCCCCCAACCCACTCTTCCTGTCCAGAGGCAGCAGGAGCAGGGGGGCCCCTCTTGCACCAGAGGAGAAAGATGCAGCTGGGGACCCCCTCCACAGCCGGTGCCTCCGAGGACGGAGTCTGGTGCCATCAGCTCTGAACGGAGCCTTTGCCAACTGGAAATCTTGTCAGACTTCCCAACCCCCCAAATGTTATGACTGCACCGAGTGCAATTTATTTATTTCTTGTTTTATTGCTTGCATTTCTATCCCAGCTTTTCCTCCAGGAAGCTCAAGGTGGCATGCAAAGTTCTCTCCCCCCCCCACCTCAATTAATCTCAACAACAGCCCTGTGAGGTAGGCTTGGCTGAGAGGCAGGGACCGGTCCCCCAAGGCCACACCTAGTGAGCTTCATGGCCGAGCAGAGGATTCGATCTCTGGTCTCTCCCAGGTCCTAGTCTGACATTCTAACCACCACACCACCTCTGGCTCTGCAGCGTGATCCTCCTGAATGTGTCAGGATTGGAACCTGACTCTTGGGGCCCCTTCCAGACACCCTCTCTTTCCTCCCTCCCTCTCCAGGTGTCCTCCATCAACCGAATCCTTAGACGTCTGCCAGTGGGGATGCCCTTCGCAGAGCAGGCTGCCTTCCTCAAGCCTCTGCAGTCAGGTGAGAGATGTTGTGAAAAGGCTTCAGGACGTGGGTAGGAAAACTAAGGCCCGGGGTCCGGATCCGGCCCAATCGCCTTCTCAATCTGGCCCGCGGACGGTCTGGGAATCAGCGTGTTTTTACATGAGTAGAATGCGTCCTTTTATTTAAAATGCATCCCTTCCAACTCTACCACTCTACGATTGTAGGATTCTGTGACTTGCTATGGGTCCTGCTTCCAGGGATCTCGCTGCACAGACACCCACACTTGGTTTGCACTCCCTCTCTTCTGCAGGTCCCACCTTGCCTTGGGAGAGGAGTCCCCAGGGTTCAGAGGAGAGGACAGAGGCCCCGGCTCCCCCCGAGGGGCTGCAGGAGGTGGCGAGGCCCCCCGCAGCAGGCAAGCCAGGCAGGAACAGGAGCCGCACTGTCTTCTCCAAGCAGCAGCTGGAGGTCTTGGAACAAGGTGAGTTCCTGGGGCTGTGCAGGATCAGGGCCCCCACAAGGGCAAGGACTCTGAAGGGTTAAGGTTTCCGCTTGGGACTTGGAGGGGCTTTGCAAGGCAGCCTGCCTCCTCTTGGGTGCTTCCGAGGGGAGGCAGAGAGTCTAGGGCAGGCATGTCCAAAGTCCAGCCCACGGGCCAAATCTGGCCCTCCCGTAGCTTTAATCTGGCCCCACAGGTGCTGCTGCTGCTCACCAGCTTGCACATGCGCTGAAGTGATGGACATGAGGCAGGAGTTGATAATGCAGGTGAGCTGCAAGCAAGCTGCCGGCCAGCTCTGTGGAGCCTCCTTTTATTGACACAAATCTGCAAACCCAGGCAGATACATTTGGGGCTGTGACCTTTACACATCTTCTGGTCCCGAGATTGTGGGGCGGTACAAAGTTATTTTGGCACCTGTTTCCACCGCGTCATTTTCCCCTTGCATAGTGTGTGGCGAAGGAGACAAAAGGTCTCAGAGACAAAGGTCACAGACAGGACACCGCAGACTACTGAGACTGCAAAAGGTTAGACAGAGGGTACGATGTTCAGACAGCTGTGGCTTTGTCTGTGAGGGGGAGTGTGCCCTGCACCCCAAGGTCACGCGTGCAAGCAGGCTGAGGTTGCCTGCGGGTGGGGAGTGTGCTCCCTTTGGACCCCACAATCATCCCTCAATGCGCCCAGTTCTTTGTTGGGCAACTTGCGCATGCGCCCTGCATGCGGCTCTAGGACCCATCCATCCGCTATCTCGCGCATGGTGAGCAATTTTGTGCTGACTAATCCTAAAAAAGGTCAACAACTTTGGTCGGCCCTCATACATGTTCACTTCATCAAATCTGGCCCTCTTTGTAAAAAGTTTGGGCACCCCTGGTCCAGGGTCATCATCACAGCAGTACAGGGGTACCTCGGGTTACATACGCTTCAGGTTACAGACTCTGCTAACCCAGAAATAGTGCCTCAGGTTAAGAACTTTGCTTCAGGATGAGAACAGAAATCGTGTTCCGGCAGCAGCAGGAGGCCCCATTAGCTAAAGTGGTGCTTCAGGTTAAGAATAGTTTCAGGTTAAGAACGGACCTCCAGAACGAATTAAGTTCTTAGCCCGAGGTACCACTGTATCTCCATCTGAGGGGTCCTGTCAATCACAGTGTGGTGCTTTGGGATCTGGGCCAAGGGGGGGCAGCTGGATGTAATTCTCAAACTCCCTTCCAGCATTCCAGAGAGGGCCGTATCCAGAGACGGCTGCCCGGGAGGAGCTGGCTTCTGCTACCGGGCTCCCAGCTGACACCATCAGAGTAAGTGCAGCTCCTCCTGCTGCCTGCTCCCTCACCCGGGACAAAGGCTTTGCTCCCCCAAACGCCACTGTGCAAAGCAACCTCAGAGCCACAGGATCCTCACCCAAACACCGAAAACATAAGAACATGCTTTTATGGGGGGGGGACCACAACTGCTCCTTTCCCTTATGGGGTACCTAAGAACCCGTATAGAGTCCTTAAGTAGGTTGGAGGAAATAACAGAGGCCAACCAGAGAATATTGAGAAGCAAAGCACCTAGTAAGCCTGATCTTTATTAACCTGTTGCAACAGCGTCCCCCACTCACCTCACGCAGGGAGGGAAAGGAGGAACCCAGAACATTGGTGTGCAAGCCCTTATATAGACTTTTGAAAGCCCTGTAGCTCAAGACCACCCCCCAAACATGATGCATACACCACAGAAGGAGGTGGTCTCCAGCAGAAATACATCACAGGGGGCAGTCTACCCCAGAAATCCTGTTTGTCAGGATACCTGACAATGGTCACTGATTGCTGTATCTGGGCAGCCTGGCCATTCCTTTGGAGATGCTAAATATTTAGTTCCTGAACCCAGGTCACAGGCTCACCCTATTCATGCACAAACGTGCCCTTAAGACAGGATATGAGCAAAGGGACAATGGGGAGGCTTCCCCATTTCCTTCCTCACTGAAGAGAATATTTGAGGTCACTGGAAGAGTCAAAATGGCTTCAGGGTGGCTCTCCTGTACTATTCCAGACACATGGTTTATATTCTTATTTATGTGTTCGCCTTGAAAATTTATGAACATATGATTTTTAATATGTGACACCTTAGCATTCCTATAGGGGACGCGGGTGGCGCTGTGGGTAAAAGCCTCAGCGCCTAGGGCTTGCCGATCGAAAGGTCGGCGGTTCGAATCCCCGCGGCGGGGTGCGCTCCCGTTGTTCGGTCCCAGCGCCTGCCAACCTAGCAGTTCGAAAGCACCCCCGGGTGCAAGTAGAGAAATAGGGACCGCTTACTAGCGGGAAGGTAAACGGCATTTCCGTGTGCTGCGCTGGCTCGCCAGATGCGGCTTTGTCACGGTGGCCACGTGACCCGGAAGTGTCTCCGGACAGCGCTGGCCCCCGGCCTCTTAAGTGAGATGGGCGCACAACCCCAGAGTCTGTCAAGACTGGCCCGTACGGGCAGGGGTACTTTTACCTTTTTTACTAGCATTCCTATAACAGTGGAAAGAGGCTGCAGGATCAGGCCAATGGCCTCTCTGGCCCGGCATCCTATTCTCTCAGGGCCAAACAGAAACCTGGGAAACCTTGCAAGCAGGATCCGAGCACAAGAGTAACTCTCCCTGCCTCCTGTGGCAGTGAGTTCCATAGGTGAACCCTGTGCTGCACCTTCTGACATTCAGCGGCATGGGATTCCCGGGAGTTCTGGGGCAGGGTGTGGCCCTAACCCAGACCGCCTGTGACTTTGTCTTTGTTCCCACTAGGTTTGGTTCTCAAATCGAAGGGCGAGGCAACAGCGAGAGGCCAAGGCCACGCTGGACACAGGACACACAGGTTCTGGCCTGACCCCCTCCCCAATTCCAGGTGTTCTTGTCCTGCCCTAAGGGGGGGGGCTTCAAAAAAGTCTGTGTACTAACTTCTCACAAGGCTTCCCCCCCCCAAAAAAATGAGTCTGTGGCTCCTGTGTCTTCCCTGCACCCTTCTCCTCTTAGGGCATTTTGGGAGGGACTATGAGCTGTGGGGCAGGACCCCTAGGGCAGCAGGCAGCTGCTGCTCTCCCAGTTTCCCCTGGCAGCCGTGGGGAGAGCAAGCAGAACAAACCCTCCTTGGGAGCCACGAGGCAGGCGGCAGACAGCTCTCCCTCTCTCTCTCCTTCCTAGGACCCCCGTGGGAGTGCTGCCCCCCTCCTGCGGCACCAGCCCCCCAAGGCTTTGCTGCAGCCAACTCTGACGCACCAACAGCCGCTGCCCTCTGCCATCAGGTACGAGGGCACCCAGAAGTCCCAAGATTGGACTCTTCTTCCTTGAAGGTTTTCAAGCAGAGGTTGGGTGGCCTATGCCAGGGGTTCTGTCAGGGACCCTGCTGAGGAGGGCTGAGGAGGAATGGTGGGAGCCTCCCCCTGCTCCTGATCCGGATCCTGAATCTTCCCAGGAACAGGAGGACAGTATAGATTTGGAACAGTGGTTTGAAGAGGGGCACAGTTCAGAAGGCAGAAGCTGTGAAATACTGGATGGGGAACAGCTAGGAGAAGAAGCACTGGGAGGGAGAGGGTTAACAGATCCACTGTCTCTGGAAAGCATTCGTCCGCTCTCCCCAAGGTTGAAAAGAGCTCAGAAAGTCTCAGAACAGAAAGCACAAGCTCAGATTACATAACGTAGGAGTGACGTAGGTTAATAGTGACAGAAGCGGGTGTAATCCTTAACTGGGAGCACTGCCATTTCTAGGAGATGGGCTCTTTGTTCTCTCGCTGTGGTTCTTAAAGTTTCTAACTGGTAAGAAGTCCCTTTCTTCCATCTTCTTATCTACTGCCGATTCTCCGAAGCCCGACAGATTCTTTAGTTGTGATTCCTGCATTGCAGGGGGTTGGACTAGAGGACCTTCAGAGGTACCTTCCAAGTCTACAACTGTAAGATAGGGGACAGCAGGATGGGCCAGGGAGTGGTGCAGGGGGTTGGGCTGGATGACCCTTGGGAGTCCCTTCCATGATTCCTCTTGCCTCCACAGCCTTCTCCTCCCAGCCTTGCCCCTCGCTTCAAGGCCGGCGGCTGCAAAACCTTCCCGCCCCACCTGCAACCACCTGGCCCCCCACCCTGTGCCTGGACGGAGCCCTTCTGTGGTAAGAGAGGTCTCCAGCTGCTTTGGCTCCTACCCATACCCCCCCCATGGGATAGGAGGAGGGCATCACCAGCCAGGGGGTCAGTTGCCCTTCAAGCGCCCCTTCCTTTGGGGCCTCAGAAGAGGGGCCCGCTCTTCACAAGGGCCCTTAACCCTCGCCTGACCCCTGGCTCTTTCTCTGCAGGGCTGGGGTCTGCAGGGGCTACTCCTGCCCCACCCTGGATCCCAGACTTGCCTCCTTTTGCGGGGCTCCCCCCATCCTCAGCTGTCCGGGGCCCTGGAAGCCCCTTCTGCCCTGCCAGCTCTGGGCCGCTGCCAGTGCCTCCTCCCCAAGGACCAGGGAGCCGGATTCTGGGGGGCTGCCCAGGCCCAGAGAGACCACTGGGAATATCTGCTCTAGAAGTGCCCACACCTGCTGCTCTTTGGGCCTCCCTGAGGACTCCAGGGTCTGGATTCTCCGTGCTGTGTTGACTTCCTCCAAAAAGACATTGCGTAGACTGAACTGAGACATTCTGCCAGCACAGAAGACCTGGAGAAGAACTAGCTGGATCAGGCCCAAGGAGGGTCTGCTGAGTCCGGCAGCCTGTTCTTCTCCTAGTGGCCAGTGAGGGGAAACCAGCAGGCAGGATCCGAGCCCAAGAGGGCAAAGCAGAGCCCTCCTAGCTGGAAGGTCACCAATAGCCCTCTCTTCAATGGATTTGTCTAATCCTTCCAGAACCTTCTTGCTGGGCTGCTGCTGGGCCAACAGCAAAATCCTTTGGGATAATGTGTGCATCTATTGAGGGGGCATGATTTGGAGAATAGCACTGCAGATGGTGACAGCAGTCACGAAATTAAAAGACGCCTGCTTCTTGGGAGAAAAGCAATGACAAACCTAGACAGCATCTTAAAAAGCAGAGACATCACCTTGCCAAGAAAGGTCCGTATAGCTAAAGCTCTGGTTTTCCCAGTAGTGATGTATGGAAGTGAGAGCTGGACCATAAAGAAGGCTGATCGCCGAAGAATGGATGCTTTTGAATTCTGGTGCTGGAGGAGACTCTTGAGAGTCCCATGGACTGCAAGAAGATCAAACCTCTCCATTCTGAAGGAAATCAGCCCTGAGTGCTCACTGGAAGGACAGATCCTGAAGCTGAGGCTCCAAGACTTTGGCCACCTCATGAGAAGAGAAGACTCCCTGGAAAAGACCCTGATGTTGGGAAAGATGGAGGGCACAAGGAGAAGGGGATGACAGAGGACGAGATGGTGGGACAGTGTTCTCGAAGCTACCAGAATGAGCCTGACCAAACTGCAGGAGGCAGTGGAAGACAGGAGGGCCTGGCGTGCTCTGGTCCAGGGGGTCACAAAGAGTCAGACATGACTAAATGACTAAACAACAACATCAAAGGCAGCAGCATGAAGAGAAGGGGGAGGCGATGGCTGCCTGTGGGGAGCCCCCTGCCCAGGGCACGGCTATAAGGACCATTCCTAGCCCTCCCACCCCACAAGTGTTGCTGCTGCAGCTATGGGGCAGGAGAGAGACCCTCCTGGGCAGGAAGCCTTTGCCCCTCTCTTCCCTGGACCCCCACCCCACCCCTCTTTCCTTGCTTGTCTTGCCTGGGGGGTGGAAGCTGCAGGAGGTTTTGGGGTGGCTGCCTACTGGGCTGTCCCTTATCTGTAGCCCCAAACCAGGTGCCCTCCTCAGCCCCACCCTCCTTTCTGTGGTTGCTTCTGGGACAGACTCAGAGGACCTCAGCCTTGCAATGCCTTCTTCCTTCTTTCCCCTCAGCCTCTCTTGCACTCATCCAGTATCTGGAGACTCCCAAGGAGGGCAGGATGTTACATGGGGACCTCTTGGATTTGAGCTATGGGACAGAGGGAGGGTTTTCTAATCATGTGTGATTTCTGCAATATATTTCTGCCGTGTTCATTGGTCTGCCAGTTATTACAAGAGACGCCGCCTTTCTCTCTGCAAGAACCTCAGGGGCTCCATGCCCAAGACCTGGCAAGGCATCCCTGGCACGGCAAGGGGGCAGGGGAAGGAAGACCCCTCCCAGGCCCAAGCCAGGGCCCTCAGCTGCCTACGAGGCTCTTGGGAGTTCCCTGATGGCCAATCCTCGCCCCCAAAAGAGGCAAATTACAGAAGGGGAGGGAAGAAACCAATTTTATAAAGCAAAATCTCACATGCCAACTGCCCATCTAGTGCAGCCTCCTGTTCTCACAGTGGCCAGAAAGATGCCTCTGGGAAACCAGTGGGCAGGATCCAAGCGCAAGAGCAACTCTCCTCTCCCGCAGTTTCCAGTGTGATAAGAATTTGAAGGTCTTAGATGTATAATAAATGTACCAACCAAGCAGGTACACAGATCAGCACAGGGGGACCGACCTGGAACCATTTTTGATTCCCAAATGTTTTCTCTGCAAGGTCAAAGGAAAATGGAAAAGCCTCGCCATTGTCTTTTCCTTCACAAATCCTATCTAAAGGGTATGTCTGTCTGTGTTTGAAGAGGGTGAGCCTGTGACCTGACTCAGGAACTAAGTATTTATAATTACAAAAGACTGGCCAGGCTCCCCAGGGTATCCAATCAAGTGACCATGAAATAGGTAACCTGGCAGATGAGATAAACAAGTCACTTAGATTTCTGCTGTAGACCGCCTATTCTGTGACGTAGGTATGATGTATCTGGGGTGGTGGTCTTGGGTTACACCGCTTCTGTGATGTATGTATGATGTTTCTGGGGTGGTCTTGATCTACAGGGTGGCAATTTCAAAAGTCTTTATAAGGCCTTGAGCGCCATTGTTCTGGGTCCTCCTCCTTTCCTGCGTGTGAGGGGAGGATCCTGTTGCAACAGATCAATAAAGATCAGGCTTACTAGCTGCTTTGCTTCTCAATACTCTCTGCTTGGCCTCTGTTTTTTTCTCCTACCAATAGGGAACCTACGTAAGGACTCTTGGATCCCCCATAAGGGGAAAAGGACAGATCTTTGTTTACAACACCGGCAACTGGGATTCAGAACCATGGCTGGGGAGGCACAGCAGAGCCATCCTGGCCAGGAGACATCCATATCCCTTCCCTCCTCCGTGGATTTGCCCAATCCCCTTTTATAGCCACCCAACTTGGTGCCCATCCCTGCCTCCAGTGGGAGGGAGTTCCATAGCTCAGCTGCCTCCTTCCCTGAGAGTTTTTGGGAAAGGGCCACTGGGCGAGGTGAGGAGAGGAGCTGTCAGGGGCTCAGGAGCAGAGGCACAGGAAAGGGAGGAAATAGAGAGCGAGGGGGAGGAATCCGAAGGAAATGTTAGCGATGACAGCGGTCCGAGGTCTCTGAGTCTTTCCAGCGAATCGGAAGATTCACAGAAAGGGGCTCCCATGGTCAGAGCAAGGGGGGTGCCGAGGGGGACACCCCAGGAAGAAGGGGCCAGAGGGGACTCAGAGAGCAGCAGTTGGAAATCAGGACCAGCTTCCCCACCAGAGCGCAGTAGGGGGGAGGAGTCCCAGGTATCGGGATCAGGCGGCTCACCGCCAGAGGGAGGACATGAGTCAGGATTGGCCACGCCTCCATCGGGGAGCGAGGAAACGGCCAAGAGGAAGGTTGAAGGGTGGGCGCGCGCGCCAAGTTCAAATGTACAGGAGGGCGGCGCAGTTGGCAGCCCGGATAGGGAGCCAGGTCCCAAAGCCCGCCGAAAAGAGGGGGAGGAGTCAGGGGGGTCAGCGTCAGAAGAGTCCAGAAAGGAGGAGACCCCGGGGGGCAGAAGGACCCAGAGGAGAAAGGAGAGACGGAAGAGGTGGAGTAAGGTTAGGGTTAGACGTAGAGCTGGGCGCTGCGGCTTGAAAATGGAAACTGTACTTCAATAAAGACTTTTGTACATTACTACCGGCTAGCATTGGGTCCTCTGTGAGCTGGGACCTGGAGGCAGTCTCTGACAGGAGCCCATGCTTAGGGTGCAGCTCTGGGGCTGAAGAGGCTGGGCTGGGTGCCCTTCTCCTCCACCCCCCATGGCAAAGCTGCATGGTCCGGCACTGAGGGCGGATAGCAGGTGGGGGCATGGCTGGCACGCGTCCTGGGAGCGTGGCACGTTGCCTGTGGGGGTGTGACACCCGGCATGGTGGGAGGATGCACGGCGTGTGTCCGGGGGGGTGGCCGCAATGGTACCCCCCTCCCCATTGGTGCGCCCCACTGTTCCTCCACCAGTGTCCCCACCCCAAGTCGGTGGTGGAGGGGCTGGTAGTTGTAACTACTTCTTGAAGCGGGACATACGCTCTGCACATGCCCTGGGGCACCTCTGTTGGGCGGTTTTGCATCTGGGCTCAGGGATCTGTCCTTGGCCCAAATAAATCCTGCGGGCACCCCGCCTGCCTGCCTGCCCTTCTTCCCCCCTTCCTGTCCCTCTGGAGCCCACGACCCACCCACCCCAATGAAACAGACAGAGGCCAGGGTCTTTTTGCTTTTTGCTCCTTTTCAGAAGACACCTGAGTGGTCCTGCAAGAGGGGAGGAGCCACACCCCAGCCCCAAATCCTCCTCTGGCGGCATCTGCCCCTTCACCTCCATGGGGGAGAACGGCAGCGGGTGAGGCCCCCTTTGTGGGTGGGAGGGAAGAGCCCCCTCCTTTTCCTCTGCTGCTGCTGCTTCCAGGCCTCTTGATGATGAGTACGGATGAGGCCGCGGAGAGAAGGCCAAGGCATTAGGACGTCTTGGCTGGCCCAACAAGGACTCCGCTGGGTTTCTGTTCCTCCTCTCCTGCAGACACCTGTGGACAATGACCCCCTGGTTAGCCCTCCCAGAGCCCCTGGGGGCCAGAACCCTGCCTGGTTTAGTTCATAAAATCATAGACTCACAGATTGGGACGGGACCTCAAGGCTCCCAGACCCCAGCAATTCATTTGTTTCATAAAATTGAAACACTGCTTGAATGTAAAACACACACACACACACACACACACACACACACACACACTTACAAAAAGGCTAAAACAATAATATTGTCCATAAGCGCAACTCTTCAATACGCTTGCAGGAAGAATCCAGCAATAAACTAAAAACAGATGAAGAAACACCTCCACATTCCACAGGCCTGGCCAGAAATGTTTTTAGCAGGTGCCGGGGAAAGCGCAGTTGAAGGTGCCTGCCTGATATCAATAGGCAGGGAGTTCCAAAGTGCTGCCACACAAAATGATGTGAGTTCTTACCAATGAGAAACGGGTATTATGTGTCCCCTGTGGGAGCACCAGTTCCATCTAAAGGCAGCCCTGTTTAGGAAAGTTTTTAATGCTGTATTGTGTTTTTAATTTTCAGTTGGGAGCCGCCCAGAGTGGCTGGGGAAACCCAGCCAGATAGGCGGGGTATAAATAAATTGTTATTGTTATTATTTATTATTATTATTCCCCCCAATCAATGGGGTCAAGTGGGGCCAGGCCACCTCATAGGGAAACTGGTTCCAAGTTTTTCTGGGCTTTATTGCACAGTAGAACCTCAGTTTTCGAGCGTCTCTGAAGCCAAACGTTTCAGTTTTTGAATGCACATAATTGCTTCCATTTTCTGCCTCTGTTGACACACAGTGGGTGGTCCTGGAGCCTGCAAGCCAAAAACTTCACCCCCCCTGAGGTGCCACAGTGGGGTGTGCTGGTGGCTGATTGAGCAAGGAGCATTGGACGTCTCTCAGGGTCTCTGCCCTCCCATCTCTGCCGGGCCCCCCGCCTCTTCCACTCCCCACCCTGGCAAGGCGACTGCCCCCCTTCTTCTCACCTGCCCGAGGCCTAGAACTCCCAGAGGCACTCGCAGGTCACTTCCTCGCTGTCGGCCACCAGGCAGCCCTCCCGGTCCGCACGCAGGAAGTACCCATTGGGTCCCAGCACGGCCAGGAGGTTGTTCCCTCGGATCTCGACGCAGAAATTCAAGGCAAACTTCCCCCAGGGGCTGAAGGTCCCTTCCGAAGTCAGGCACCAAAAGCTCTTGCCGCGGCCTGGGAAGCGAAACGACGGCGGAAAAGACGGGCGTTGGGAGATTCAGGACAGGTGAAAGAAATGGCTTTTTTTGCGCAATGCAACTGTGGAACTCCCTGCCACAGGAGGCAACTATGGCCACCGATTGGGGTGGCTCGAGAACAGAATTAGAGGAACTCACAGGGGGGAGGGCTATCAATGGCTAGTAAAGGTAAAGGACCCCTGGACGGTTAAGTCCAGTCAAAGGCGACTATGGGGTTGCGGCGCTCATCTCGCTTTCAGGCCGAGGGAGCCACCATTTGTCCACAGACAGCTTTCCGGGTCATGTGGCCAGCAGGACTAAACCGCTTCTGGTGCAATGGGACACCGTGACGGAAACCAGAGCGCACAGAAACACCGTTTACCTTCATACCACAATGGTACCTATTTATCTACTCGCACTTTGACGTGCTTTCGAACTGCTAGGTTGGCAGGAGCAGGGACCGAGCAACGGGAGCTCACCCCGTCGCGGGGATTCGAACCGCCAACCTTCTGATCAGCAAGTCCTAGGCTCTGTGGTTTAGACCACAGCGCCACCCGCGTCCCTCAATAGCTAGTAGCCAGGATGGCTCTGCTCTGCCGCTACGGACAGAGGCAGCAATGCTTCGTAATACCGGTTTCTGGAACCAGCAGGAGGGGAGAGCTGCCCTTGTGCTCGAATCCTGTTTGTGGGTCTCCCTTTGGAGCAACAGGATGCTGGACCCGATGGGCCCTGGGCCTGCCCCCCTGGCCTGTCCCCCCTTCCCTCCCCCCCTTCACCTACTCTGGAAGTGGTAGATGCCCTCCTTGCAGGGCAGCAGCTCGATGCAGTCTGGCTCCAGGAGGTTGCACTGCAGGGCCTCGTGGCAGGAGGAGCTCCCCACGTAGCCGTAGCAGCCGCGCAACAGCAGGAAGGAGCGGTTGGCCAGGCGCAGGCCAAACTCCTCGTGGGGCCCTGCAATGCAGTGGGGCAGGAGGTCAGCTGGGAGCTGGCAAGGAGACAGGGTCCCTGAGGCATCAGCAGACCTTTGTTCCAGACTTTTCTTTGCAGCCAGCAAAGACGGGAGCTGCTCTCCTTGCTTTTGAGGTCTGGGGGTGGAGGAGGACCCCTTTTCCAAAAGAGCCAGAAGGGGTGGGATTCGTGGAATATTGAAAGTGCAGTCCAAACCAACAATTCAAGTTTTTCAAGACAGGAGTTGAGGCTCTCTGAGCTTTCCTGCATCTTTGCTAGAAAGAACTCTGCCAGAGACGTTCCCCGCACTGTGCCCTGGCAGGCAGAGGAGGGCATAGCAATATATTCTCTTACCTGTCTGGGCACACCCTTTCCCCATCTCTTTATGACCTGCCAGCAAAAGGGCAACTTGCTAAAGTCAGAGCTCCAACACTCAGGCACCGTTTTAAGGCAGAGTTCAGTACGTCTTTACAACTGAATCGCCATTTCATTTCATTATTTTTTTTTCAACTTAAATTTTTATTAGTTTTCATCAAACATACATTCCAATACATTCATTGTATTAATACATCTCATACATAACATTAGCTCTATTGAGCTTTGGACTTCCTTCCTCCCCTTCGGTAAGTATCATATATTTTCTTTGTCACGTATTTTATACATTTATCTATTTGATCATAAGCTGTTGAAGTTAATCAAATCCTGCCAGTGTCTTTAAAGATTTACAGTTGTCTCTTATATAATCCAGGTATTTACTCCAATTTTCATGAAACTTTTGTTCATCCTGATCTTTTATTTTATTTATCTTTTAACTGAATCGCCATTTCAAGCCTGCCTGTCTCTGTAATCTCGTTACTCTGCTGTATCTGTTACTCCAACAAGTATTCTGAGTGAGTAAGTGCTAATTTCAAGACTGTTAGTGTGATGATTGTTTTAAGGGGGAATTTTGCATCCCAAAATTCATCTTTTCTATTATCTTCTTCATAAAGGCCCATGAAATATTATCAAAGGCCTTTTCAGCATTTATAAACATTAAAGCAGCTTATTTATCATTTCTGACCTCCAGATATTCTATCACTTCAGTTATATTTCTTATATTATCCCTCATCTGGCATCCTGGTAGGAAACCAGCCTGATCATGATGAACTATTTCTACCAAAACTCCTTTCATTCGGTTGGCCAGTATATTGGAAAATAGCTTATAATCATTGTTTAAACGCTTCCCTTTTGAAATATACTCAGAGTCGCAAAGTGATTTCATGCTCTTTATTCAGCTCATAGTGGTGAGGAGGAATGAATGAATGTCCCCTCAAAGTATCTGCTTTATATACATTATTTACACAATGGGCTGCACATGATTGGCTAATTCCGGAATTCTCCTGTAGGCCAATCAGGTTGTGGATTCTATCTGCAGCATGATTGGGTGGTTCCTGCCAACCAATCATACTGCTGCATTGTTCTAGGATCAATCAGACTGCTGCATTCTGAATCCTATTGTTCTAGGACCAATCAGACTGCTGCATTCTGAATCCTATTGTTCTAGGACCAATCAGACTGCTGCATTCTGAATCCTATTGTTCTAGGACCAATCAGACTGCTGTGTTCTGAATCCTATTGTTCTAGGACCAATCAGACTGCTGCAGTTTGGATCCTATTCAACTCAGTACGTAACACCTTTTAAGCTGCAAAGGGACGACACAAACGTGAGGAAGGATAATATCTAATAAATATATCCTCTTCTAGCATCTGTTCGCATTTCTGCAGGCATTACGCCAGTTGGGTCACCAGGCCAGACTCCTCACCCTCCAGCAGGGGCAGGTGAGACATCGCATAAGGTCAGGGGGTTTCCTTGGGACTCCTGGGGAGATGCTTCCTTTCTGCCCCACCTCCCCCAGCCAGAGACCCTCCTTGTTCCAGGGAGTGGCTCATCCTCTCTCCCCCACCCCTTCTCCTCACCTGGCTGCATGGCTCTGGCGACCACCAGCCCGACAGGAAGGGTGCCCAGGTAGCGGCCGTTGAGCGCCCTCAGGAAGATTTTCCCATAATGCCACAGGATGCTGAAGTGGGTCTCAGGTTCTTTGCTGCAGCCGTCGGCCATCACACTCTGGAACTCCCTCTGGGGAGAGAAGACCCAGGTCAGCGGGCGGGGGGGAGGAGAAAACCAGCCACTCTGCCCCATGGGAGTGAAAGTCGTCCCATCCCCTATCCCCCAATTTAGCAGGTGATAATGCTCTTGGGGACAAAAGCAAGGTGGCCCCTCCAACACTTGGCTGTGGGGCTGGGCACCCTACCTCCTGGCCCTCACAGGGACCCTGGACCCAGCCTTTTTGGGGGTGGAGGAGCCCCTAACTTACCTGCGCCAGGTACTTGTGGTTGATGTCTTTCAGCTGCACGGTTTGGGCATCGGGACTGACATGAAAGAGGAACGTGGTCATGGGGGTCGCCTTTTTGGAGCCTGCGTAGACCTCTGAGTCTGAGGGGAGAGAAGAGCAGCTCAGCAGGTGCAGCACGGGCAGCTGCTGCCTTGCACTGAGTCGGCTTCATCTAGCTCAGGACACTGGCTGGCAGCATTGTCTCTCCAGGATTTTGTGGGATGTAATCCATTGGATTATGGGACGCGGGTTGCACTGAGCCTAGGACTTGCCGATCAGAAGGTCGCGGTTCGAATCCCCGCGACGGGATGAGCTCCCGTTGCTCGGTCCCTGCTCCTGCCAACCTAGCAGTTCGAAAGCACGTCAAAGTGCAAGTAGATAAATTGGTACCGCTCCGGCGGGAAGGTAAACGGTGTTTCCGTGCGCTGCTCTGGTTCGCCAGATGTGGCTTAGTCATGCTGGCCACATGACCTGGAAGCTGTACGCCAGCTCCCTCGGCCAATATAGCGAGATGAGCGCCGCAACCCCAGAGTCGGCCACGACTGGACCTAATGGTCAGGGGTCCCTTTACCTTTTTTTAATCCATTGGAGCAGTCAAGTACAACATTCCTTGTTTCCCTAGAGTGGCACCTGCCCTGAGGAATGCCCTCCCATCAGATGTCAAGGAAATAAACAACTACCTGACTTTTAGAAGACATCTGAAGGCGGCCCTCTTTAGGGAAGTTTTTAACGTTTGATGTTTTATCATGTTTTTAATATTCTGCAGAAGCTTCCAGGTTCAGTCCCCACGGCGAGGAAGGACAGGAATAGACCCTGCCTAAACCCTGGAGAGCTGTGGCTGCCAGCCAGGGTTGACAATACTGACCTAGATGGAAGCAGAGAACTATGGCAGGGACCTCCAAGGGTCATCAAGCACACCCTCCCAAATCTGAGCTGAATCACCCCTGACATGAGTCAAAGAGGCCCTGGGCCCCCGGCCTGGCCCCTGCTGCTCCCCCCGGGGTTTACTTGCCGCAGAGGATGCCCATGTACTTCTTGGCCCTGGTTCTCAGGCTGACCCACTGTGGGCACCTCTTGATGACGAACCACTCCTCGTTGTCTTCGGGGCAGTCTCCGAGGCACAGGAGCCCCCGGCTGCCCTGCGGGTACAGGATGTGCCCCTCCCTGTCGGTCAGGAAGGCCAGGCAGCCGGGCCTCAGGTTCAGGTGGAAGGCCGTCTCGGCCGAGGGCTTCTTGGCCAGCTTCTCCAGCCGGGAGACGTACTTGTGGTTGGACGTCTCCAGGTGGCAGACGCCGCAGCGCAGACGCAGGACGAAGCCGCACTCCTCGCAGTAAGGCACCGGCGTGTCCACCCAGACGCGGTTCAGCTCGGGGTCAGTCCGCGCGTACAGCCGGCTGCTGGGGTTGAAGAGGACCACGTGCGCATGCATGGCCAGCTGGGGCATCCACATGTGGCGGCGCGTCAGCTCTCTGCAGACGCAGAAGACGTCCTCCCCGTCCGACTCCAGGAACTTCTTGCTCTCCAGGTGCTGGAGGCTCCAGGCCCCGCTGGAGTGCACCTCCAGCACAAACTGGCTCTGCCGCCCCGAGGCCGGGTGACCGCACCGGACGGTGCCATCCGCGTCCACCAGGAGGCAGCGCCCTTGTTGGCCCCTCAGCACGGCCACCGTCAGCTTCCCAGGCTTCGTGGTCACCTCCAGGTCCCAGGTCTGCAGGGGGCGAGAGGGGCAGGTCAGCAGGGATCCTGAAATATACCCAGGGTCGAGAGTGGATTTCATGCTCTTTATTCAGCTCCTAGTGGTGAGGAGGAATGGAAGTTCCCCCAAAATGTCTGCCTTACAGGGGCGCCGACTTATAAAAAATATTGGGGGGGGCCCATACCGGGGTCCTGCCCCGGGAAGTTTTCTAAGTTCCAATGTCAGCGGCGCCCGGCAGAGCAGCCCTCTCGGCCACGGCAGCCCGGCTCTCCCAGCCCCCGGGGGCCGCCCTCCTCCCTCGCGCACCCGCAGCGTTCCCGCCCGGGGAGGCGGCGCCCCCAAGGACTCAGGTTCGGTTGTACCTGAGAAGCCGAGCACCTTGGCTCCCAAACAAATCGGCTTCTGAACAATCGAAACCCGGAAGTGAGTGTTCTGGTTTTCAAATGATTTTTGGAGGGCGAACATCCGGTGCGGCTTCCGATTGGCTGCAGGGGGCTCCTCTGGCAGAAGCCGCACTCTGGTTTTCAAATGGTTCCGGGAGTCGAATGGACTCCCGGAACGCATTCTGTTCGAGAACCAAGGTACAGTGGACGCTCGGGTTGCGAACGTGATCCATGTGGGAGGCACGTTCGCAACCCGCAGTGTTCGCAACTCACATTGCTGCGTCTGCGCACACACAGGTTGTGATTTAGCGCTTCTGCGCATGCACAAGTGCCGAAACCTGGAAGTAACCCATTCCGGTACTTCTGGGTTTCAGTGCATCCATAACCTGAAAATGCTTAAGCTGAAGCATCTGTAACCCGAGGTATGACTGCATGTACCAGTCCTAAGGAACTGGCCAAGTAAGGCAATCAGCATCTGCAGGTCCCTTGACAGACAGGAGAGAAGCCACACTCTTGGATTTCTGTTGGTAGATGCCTCTTCCTGAGATGCTTGTATTATGCTAATCATAGAATCATAGAGACAGAAGGGACCCCAAGGTCATCTAGTCCAGCCCCCTGCAATGCAGGAATCTTAGCTCAAGCATCCCTGACAGATGGCCACCTAGCCTCTCCCAGGGAGCAGAGACCGTCTGAACAGCTCTTATTGTCAGAAAGCTCTTCCTGATGTTGAGCCGGAAAAGTCTTTCAAAGCTGCTGCACACCTTTGTTTGGGGTCCTCCCCTCCTTGCAAATGTCTTTTTTTAAAAAAATAATAATAATTTTTATTAATTTTCCAAACATGTAAAAACAAACAAACAATAAAACAGAACAAAACATACAAACAAATAAACATTTTCCTTCACCTTACTTCCCGGACTTCCCCATACCTCCCTTTTTCTGCATCCTTATTTTTACCTTTTCACAGCAACCCTCCATTTAATTAATTGACTCATCTTCATTATAATTTCCTTAAATTTATGATTTACAGCTGCAATTCTCTGTTTCTTAACACCATAACATCTCAGCACTCCTCAATGTTACAACAATTTTTAAGATATATTTTAAATTTCTTCAAATATTCTTCCACTGTCTCACTCCCCTGGTCACGGATTCTGCCGGTCATCTCTGCCATTCCCATGTAGTCAATCACCTTCGCTTGCCATTCTTCCAGAGTGGGTAGCTGCTGCGTCTTCCAATACTCTGCTAGAAGAATTCTGTCCTTCCTTGGCACCAATTGGCCCACCATGCCCAGGAGAAAAGCCTCTGGTTTTTTAGAAAATGTCCATTTAAGGACCTTTTTGATTTCATTATAGATCATTTCCCAGTAGGCCTTAATCCTCGGGCAGGTCCACCAAAGGTGATAGAAAGTACCTTCAGTCTCATTACATTTCCAACATTTATTATTGGGCAAATGGTAAATTTTTGCAAGTTTGACTGGGGTCATGTACCACCTATAGATCATTTTCATTATGTTTTCTCTCAAAGCATTACAAGCCGTAAACTTCACACCGGTTTTCCATAACCTTTCCCAGTCATCAAACATAATGTCATGACCTATGTCTTGTGCCCATTTAATCATAGCTGATTTTACTGTTTCATCTTGTGTATTCCATTTCAGCAGCAAATTATACATTCTTGACAAATTCTTAGTATTGGGTTCTAACAATTCTGTTTCCAATTTCGACCTCTCCATCTGAAAACCTATTTTCCTGTCCTGTTTAAATACCTCGTTTATCTGAAGGTAATGCAATCAATCTCGTACTTTAGACTTTAATTTGTCATAACTCTGTAATTTAACCCTTTCACCATCTTGCTCTAAGATTTCACAATATTTTGGCCATTTGGACTCCATATTAAGTTTTTTTGTCTCTTTAGCTTCCATTGGTGATAGCCACCTGGGAGTTTTACTTTCCAGTAGATCTTTGTATCTTATCCAAACATTGTATAGTGCTTTCCTGACAATATGGTTTTTGAAACCTTTATGTATTTTTACCTTGTCATACCATATATATGCATGCCAACCAAATCTATTGTCATACCCTTCCAGATCCAAAATGTCTGTGTTCTCAAGAAGCAGCCATTGTTTCAACCAGCAAAACGCTGCCGATTCATAATAAAGTCTCAGGTCCGGCAGGGCAAACCCCCCTCTATCTTTTGCATCAGTTAAAATCTTAAAGTTTATTCTGGGTTTTTTGCCCTGCCAGACAAACTTGGATATGTCTTTTTGCCACCTCTTGAAACAGTCCATCTTGTCCAAGATCTGGAGTGTCTGGAATAAAAACAACATTCTAGGCAATACATTCATCTTAATGACAGCAATTCGGCCTAACAAGGAAAGTTTCAACCTTGACCATGTTTCTAGATCTTTCTTCACTTCTGTCCCTCCTTGCAAATGTCAGTGGGAAGGAGGGCTCTGTTTCAACAGAAAAATAAAGATTCCCCCTTTCTTCCAGCTTCCACTCATTCGTCTCCGACTGATAATGGACTTGGGAGGCTTTGAGCCCCTTGGGGAGCTGAGCTGTAAAGGACAACCTCCAATTTTCATGCATCAGAAGGAGCCCAGGAGCCCCATCGGGGCTTACCCTGTGCAGGCTGGTTCCCCCCCCACACACAAACACACACACTGGGTTGCAATTTTGTGGGTCAGCTTTGGCTGGGAGAGGCAGCCCCCCGTTAAGTCTCTGCCAGCCCAATAGCACAGCCCCCCCCCCGCCAAGTCCATGGCAGGAGACAGGCAGCAGCACCCAGACCCCAGAGGCTGCCCTTGGGACTGGCGTTCCCACACTGCCGCCTCCGCAACAAAGGCCAGCGGCCAAGTCCCCCCCCCCCCCCAGCCGCTTCCTTGGTCCCACAGGAAAGCCAGGCAGGGGCTGCACATCCTGCCCTCCGCCTCTTCCTGCTGCCCCCAACAGACAACCAGGCCTGCAAGCTTCCTCTTCTGACATCGCCCAGGCCCCCACGCAGCCCCCCACCAGCAAAACGCCCAGGAGTTTGAAGGGACCCGAGGGCCACGCAGCCAAGGGGTCTAACTCTGCAGGGAAAAGCTTCCTGTCTTTCCTCTGCCCCCTCCCCACCGGAAAGGGATGGTGGCTGCAGGCTCTGCCCCCCCCTTAACATCTGCAAAATGATTAAGGCTGATACATTGTGTTACAGGATTTTATCTAGGTAACTTCCCTGAGCTGTCAAGTTGAAAGGGTACATTCAGGCATAATATTTGCAACATTTAACAACTTTAAAGATGTGCCCCCCCCTGTAATTTCCATAACAGTTGGAAGGACAAAAATATAACCTCCTATGACAACTCCTGCAACCCATGAGCTTTCAGACAAAGATCATGCATGGACAAATGTAAAGATCTTTGGAAAGTATTTATCGAAACCACAGTAACAAACGAATCAATGTATCTTCAAGGGAAAGAATAAGTAGATCCATTTGCATATATAGCTCTGTAGGCTTAATGAGATTCCCACAAAACATTAGGAAGGCCTTTCTGGTGGTGAGAGCAGTCAGACAGGGGAAGGGGCTTTTAGGGAGAGGTCGGGGGGGCGCATCTGCCAGGGATGCTTTAGCTGTGAGTCCTGAATTGCTGGGGGTTGGACTGGATGACCTTTGGGTCCCTTCCACCTCTATGATTCCATGACCTTTAAGGGAAGTCACCTCCATCTTCCTCTCAGAGCAGATGCCCACAAGCCCTGGGCGGGAAGAGCCCGAGAGAGAGAGAGACCGAGAGAGAGAGAGAGAGAGAGAGAGAGAGAGAGAGAGAGCCCGAGAGAGAGAGAGAGAGAGAGAGCGCCCGAGAGAGAGAGAGAGAGAGAGAGAGCGCAGCCAAGCCCCCTTCACCGCCAGCCCCCCCCCGCCAGGCCCCTCTCCCCTCCTCCCTAGGCGGCAGCTCCGCCATGACCACAAACGGCGGCGGCAGCAGCAGCCGCGCGCGGCCCGGGCTCCCCTCGCCGGCCGCGGGAGCCAAGGCGCGCGATGATTTTCTTAAATTATGTCAGCGGCGCCCGGCAGAGCAGCCCTCTCGGCCACGGCAGCCCGGCTCTCCCAGCCCCCGGGGGCCGCCCTCCTCCCTCGCGCAACCGCAGCGTTCCCGCCCGGGGAGGCGGCGCCCCCAGGAGAGGCGGCAGCAGCAGCCGCGCGCGGCCCGGGCTCCCCTCGCCGGCCGCGGGAGCCAAGGCGCGCGACGAGGGAGCCAAGGCGCGCGAAAAAATTTTTAATTATTGGGGGGGCTGAGCCCCCCCAATAAAATTTTTGAGGGGGCTCGAGCCCCCTCAGGCCCCATGGAGTCGCCGCCTATGCTGCCTTATATACATTATTTACACAATGGGCCCCACGTGATTGGCTAATTCCAGAATTCACCTGTAGGCCAATCAGGTTGCAGATTCACTTCCACCTGGAGCTGGATTGGGTGGCTCCTGTGGACCAATCAGACTGCTGCATTCTGGACCCTATTGTTCTAGGACCAATCAGACTGTTTTCTTTTGCTTCCTATTCAACTCAGTACATAACAGATCCCAAAGAAATGTCCCTAGGTATTTCTCTGGGCTGATTTATCATATTTCTGCGCCATTCGCACAAATCGCAAAGTGGCTTACAAGCAATAAATCACAAATATAACACAAATCATACAGAACAATTAACAAATCATCAGCAAAACAATCGATGAAACGCTATTAACAAAGCAACTAAAGAAATAAGCTAAACAGCACCGTTACAGCAGAAGTCAGAATTGTTACAGCACTCAGCATCCATAGAACAATATTAACAACATTAACAAAATTTAGAAAGCATCTGAAGGCAGTCCTGTTTAGGGAAGCTTTTAATGTTTGATGTTCTGTTGTGCTTTTAATTCTGTTGGGAGCTGGCCAGAGTGGCTGGGGAAACCGAGCCAGATGGGCGGTGTATAAATAATAAATTATTATTAAATTATTATTATAATTATGGTCTCTGTGTGTGGTTTGGGAGCTGCACGGTCAGGGAAAAAACAATGCTGTCCAGGGTTGTAAAGACTGCGGAGAGGATAATTGGCTGCCCTCTTCCCACCTTGGATCAAATCTACGCTTCCAGGTGCCATAAGAAAGCTGCAGAGAAAGCACAGGATAGTGCGCACCCTGGAAATGATCTCTTTCAGCTTCTGCCTTCTGGAATAAGATACAGGGTTATAAAGACCAGGACTAGAGCCTGAGAAACAGTTTCTATCCAAATGCGATTTTGGTTTTTAAACACAGTGTAAGGCAGTCTTTCCTGCCCACCTAGCAGTTTGAAAGCACATCAAAAGTGCAGGTAGATAAATAGGCACCACTCCGGCGGGAAGGTAAACGGCATTTCCGTGCGCTGCTCTGGTTTGCCAGAAGCGGCTTAGTCATGCTGACCACATGACCCGGAAGGTGTATGCCGGCTCCCTTGGCCAGTAAAGAGAGATGAGCGCCGCAACCCCAGAGTCGGTCACGACTGGACCTAATGGTCAGGGGTCCCTATACCTTTACTAAGGTAGTCTTTATGTGAGTATATTGTATTCAGTTATGGGGTATCAGAGTTTTTAGGGGCTAACCAGGCTGGGATAGCTGGCTTGTGGGTTTTTGAATGTCTGATGTAGATTTTTTCAATTTCATTGTTCTTTATGGGACAATGACAATAAAGATTATTGTATCGTATAAAACAGCAACTAAAAAGGAAACAAAGCACTGTTTTTTGATGGTATTAACATAGATAAGATAGGTAGTCAGAAGCACCGGTCATATATGACCTTGGCAGCATAGATAGCCATTAGCAGGGGTGTCTGTCCAAACTTTTTTCAAAGACGGCCAGCTGTGATGAAGTGAACCTGTGTCGGGAGCCGGCCAAAGTTGTTGACCTTTTTTTCCGGATTGAAGAAGTTGTTGAACTTTATAAAGGATTTTACACCCAGGAAATAAATTGCCACAGGGGCCAGATTAAACCAACCGGATTAGCCCCCAAAAACGGACTTTGGACATGCCTGACCATTGCAATTCAGTGGAAAACAGCCCCAAATCTGACACTGGCTGATAGCACTCATTCTGGAACAGAACTCAAATAGAGAAAATTAAGCCTCATTTGAGGCTTCCGGGGGGATACCTGTTTCTTCCCCAGTGAGTTTCCCAAGACGCTGACGCCGTCGCCATAGCATTCCCCAGTCAGATACCCGCCTGTCCAGTTGACCAACCCAATCTGCATGGCTGCGCAGGAGGGACGGAGCTACCGAGGGCATCAGCAACAGGCCGACCCCCGCTTTGGACCTTGCGCTGCCCACCGACTGGCCGGCTGGGCCATGGGAGAGGCTTCTGAGGGCGCTGGGGAGGGGGGAGGAAGAGAGGAAGAGGTTTTTCTCCCTGCGGGAGACGCTGGCCCAGGATTCCAAGGGGAGAAGCTCCATGGCAAGTCTGGCCTTTGTGACCTCAGAAAGGATGGAGGGGTCTTAGTGGACCACAGGCTGAACACGAGCCAACAGTGTGATGCAGCAGCAAAAAAGGCCAATGCTATTCTAGGTTGCATCCACAGATAGTGTCCAGGTCAAGGGAAGTCATAGTTGTTGGGAAACTGTGTACGTGCAGCTACTCACACAGAGTCAGTTAAGGTTTGGCAGACAGCCAGAAGGCAATCTGAAGGAGGAAGTCTGCCTGGTGATAACAGAGGCATGGGGACAGCTCCCTGACTGGTCAAGCTCTCTCAAGGGAGTGGTAATTAATGGCCTACTAAGTGGAATGTGTTAGTTCAGAGTCCAGAGTTCAGTTGTTCTGTGTCGGTGTAGGAGTTGTGAGTCGTGTCAGAGAGAGCTAGCAAAAGTTCCGTGTTCTGTTCCTGTAAATAGTCCACTGTATATAATAAACACCTAACTAAGAACGCTGATCGCCAAAGAATTGATGCTTTTGAGTTATGGTGCTGGAGGAGACTCTTGAGAGTCCCATGGACCCTAAGAAGATCAAACCTCTCCATTCTGAAGGAAATCAGCCCTGAGTGCTCACTGGAAGGACAGATCCTGAAGCTGAGGCTCCAAGACTTTGGCCACCTCAGGAGAAGAGAAGACTCCCTGGAAAAGACCATGATGTTGGGAAAGATGGAGGGCGCAAGGAGAAGGGGAGGACAGAGGACGAGATGGTGGGACAGGGTTCTCGAAGCTACCAGCATGAGTTTGACCAAAGTGGTCCAGGGGGTCACGAAGAGGCGGACACGACTAAATGACTAAACAACAAAACAAGTTCCTGGTTCCCTGCTTCGTCCATCCTGTCTGTGGCCAAGTTGCCAATTGCTTCCATGGACTCTGCGTTTACTCTGCTAGGTCAGGCTAAGGTCCTGCAACTAGTCAGAAAGTTGCGAAACACCAACAGGTTTTGCCAATAATAGTCCCGCTCTCTTCTGTCTTGGTCAGACCACACCGGGAATACTGTGTCCAGTTCTGGGTGCAACAATTTAAAAAGGATGTTGACAATGCGGGGGGCGTGTCTTGTCATCTGGGCAGGCCACTTCTTCGCTGCAAATGTCAATCAAGATGCCTGACGATCCCTGGCCTGACTGAAACATCCTTTTGAAAAGGTGGATACCTTGGCTCCAGAATCCATTGTCACAGACCTGTTTCATTCACACAGAGATACCTGCTCTTTTTTTAAAAAATATATTTTTTTATTAAAAATTTCAACATAACAATTTATCAAAAACATATCATCCTCATACCCCCCCTATTTTCCCCTTCCCCAAACCAGAACCCCCCCATCTCCTCCCCCCAACTCCTCTCTCTGGTTTTTCAGCACATGTTAATCTCTGCATATTATAAAATTGTAAAGATCCTTAATTTATCTATCTATATGTTACCAATAATAAATTTGTGTATGCTTATTCAAAGATACGATACCTGCTCTTTTTTGACAGGTCTGCTGGGATAGTTATTGATAGTTTGGGGGGTCTCTGGAAGAATTTCCAGCTACGTGCCAAGACTTCAGGAATGAGATTATCGCCCCTCTCTTATTGTCCACTCCAGGTCACCCAGCCACTGCCCCAGTGTCCTTTCTCTTGGCAGATCAGGATGAGCAGGGGACAAGGTTTTTAGCTGGGGCAATCAGGATAAGACCCACTGTTTGACTACTGATTCCAAACCCTAAAAGGAATTTTATATAATTGACTTTTTATTTCTGTTCTTGGTATGTTGTTGTTTTATTGCTGATGGCTGCTGCAAATAAAAATTCATTCATTCATTCCGGGTCTGGTCTTATTCAACATCTTTATCAACGACTTGGATGATGGACTCAAGGGCATCCTGATCAAATTTGCAGATGACACCAAACTGGGAGGGGTGGCTAACACCCCAGAGGACAGGATCACACTTCAAAACGACCTTGACAGATTAGAGAACTGGGCCAAAACAAACAAGATGAACTTTAAGAGGGAGAAATGTAAAGTATTGCACTTGGGCAAAAAAAATGAGAGGCACAAATACAAGATGGGTGACACCTGGCTTGAGAGCAGTACATGTGAAAAGGATCTAGGAGTCTTGGTTGACCACAAACTTGACATGAGCCAACAGTGTGACGCGGCAGCTAAAAAAGCCAATGCAATTCTGGGCTGCATCAATAGGAGTATAGCATCTAGATCAAGGGAAGTAATAGTGCCACTGTATTCTGCTCTGGTCAGACCTCACCTGGAGTACTGTGTCCAGTTCTGGGCACCACAGTTCAAGAAGGACACTGACAAACTGGAACGTGTCCAGAGGAGGGCGACCAAAATGGTCAAAGGCCTGGAAACGATGCCTTATGAGGAACGGCTAAGGGAGCTGGGCATGTTTAGCCTGGAGAAGAGGAGGTTAAGGGGTGATATGATAGCCATGTTCAAATATATAAAAGGATGTCGAAATGTAAGGGACTTCAGGATTCAGACCAGGAATGTAAAAATCAGGCAGCAAGGTTTCTTAAAGAAGAAGATTTTTTATTTGGTTTTGTCAGACAAAAGCAAAGGGTGCATTTAAGAAAATGAGAAAAAATGCCCACCCCTCTTTGGGGCAGCCAACTTATATACCTTTTTGCAAAGCCCAGTTCAGCCCCTCGCCACTCCCCATCTATTGCATATTCATCATAGCTCTACCAATCAAATTGGTGGCTGCCGTGTTTGGTTCCAAGCTTGCCCTATCCACTAGGTGGCGATAGAAGCTTATAAACTACTTAATCTATTTACTAGTTCCAGTAACTACCCCTGACCAGGTGTTTCTCGGAAATGTACCGAAGTGCGTCCTGTGGTTTTGGCAGTTTCTCACTAAGAGTTATATCTGGAGCTTGGTGGTGGGCTACGTCCTGTTTGTCAGGCGTTCGTTTCTCAGAAATAGCAAGCTAGCTTAACCACAAGCTGCTGCACCTGCATATAGAGGAGGGAGAAAGGTTGTTTTCTGCTGCTCCAGAGAAGCGGAACACGGAGCAATGGATCCAAACTACAAGAAAGAAGATTCCACCTAAACATTAGGAAGAACTTCCTGACAGTAAGAGCTGTTCGACAGTGGAATTTGCTGCCAAGGAGTGTGGTGGAGTCTCCTTCTTTGGAGGTCTTTAAGCAGAGGCTTGACAACCATATGTCAGAAGTGCTCTGATGGTGTTTCCTGCTTGGCAGGGGGTTGGACTCGATGGCCCTTGTGGTCTCTTCCAACTCTATGATTCTATGATTCTATGATTCCCGGAGGAGAGATGGACAGCTGAGCGGCTCCTTTGCATCTGCCCAGCTCAGCTGAGCTCTTCGACAGGGGCGCTGTGTGGCCAGGAATTTGGCCCTTGGAACGACCGGAGACACAAGGCGGCGCTGCTGCGTCTTCGGAGGAGGAGAACACGTGTCTCGAGATGCGCATCCCGGAAGCATCCATGTGCAGGCGCACCGCAGGGGGACGCTTTGCTAGCCGCCCAGAGTTGCTGGGGCATAAAATTATATTATTAATATTAATATTTATTATTAATCTATTAATATTAAAATATATTATTAACATAGTAATATTAAAATACATCATTACTATATTATTAGAATATATTATTTATATATTTGTTATGTACCACTTTGCGACTCTGAGTATATTTCACTGGCAACGAAGGTGGGATCCCGCTGAGCTGACTGCCACACACAGCACCGCAGCACCGCCACCTGCCGCACCGCTGCCTCGCACCGTGTATCCAGGCTTCAGCTCCGGGACACAAGGAACTCAGAATGGCAACCGACAACAGCTTCTCGCCGTTCAACCCAGCATCTGGAGACTGGGAAGCGTACGCCTCCCGTTTCACCTTCCTCCTAGAAGCCAAAGGGGTCACCGACGAAGAAGACGCCAAGAAGAGGGCGATATTCTTCAGCGTCTGCGGAGAGGAGACATTTGAAATCGCCCGGGCTCTCCTTGCGCCTGAAGACGTCGCTACTGTTCCATACAAAACAATAATGGAACAGCTGAAGGGGCACTTTTCGCCGCAGCCCTCAGTGGTGGCTCGTCGAAATGCCTTCTACGCAAAGCGACAAGCCCCTGGGGAAACCATAACTGGGTTTGTGACCTCTCTCCGCCAAGCCGCCCGGTTCTGCAACTTCTCAGAGCTGGAGAACATGCTTCGTGACCGCCTCGTCGGTGGCCTGAAGGATGAGAAGCTGCAACGACGCCTCTACGCTAAGAAGGACCTAACGTTCCAGGTCGCTCTGGAGGAGGCCCTGGCAACGGAAGCTGCCGAGAGGTCGACGCAAGAGGCACGGCCGAGCCAGCCATCCCAACCGAGGGTCCACCACGAAGACCTCACCGACGACTCAGGATCCGACAGGGAGGAGGTGCACCGAGTACAGCAGCGCACTCAAGCAGCCCACATACCACAGCTGCCTCGACGAGAAAGAGGGAACTGCGCAAGCTGTGGAGAAAGTCACAAGAGGAGGACCTGCCGTTTCCGCAACGCAGAGTGCAGGCAGTGCAGAAAATTGGGACACATCGCCCGGGTGTGTCGGGCTCGGCCCACCCGACGCCAGGCATCAGATGACCAATCCAAGAGCCCCAGGTCCCGGGGCCCAACACACCAAGGCAACTCGACGGAGCTCACGGACTTCCAGGTATACCAGTTGCCCCACCCCAACGTAGAGAAAATTTATGTCGAGGTACAGATAGAGGGGGCCCCATGCCGCATGGAGCTTGACACGGGTTCAACTCTATCCATAATCTCGGCAAAGACCTTAAGAAAACTGTGTCCTACGGGGGGTCCCAAACTCAGGCCGGCCCCATTCACCCTCCGGGACTTCCAGAAACGTAAGGTCCCCACAATGGGGGTGGGGACCTTCAGGGTGCAATACCGAGGGCGGACGCGGCAACTGGACTTGCTTGTGGTCAAGGGCCCCTACATTAGCTTACTGGGATTGGCATGGTTTGGACCACTGGGGCTAGCCGTCACCGGGGTGAACTGCACTAGCTTACAAGTAGACGTGGACGC